GAGAAAAGTTTTAATTAACTTGCTGAAGGTCATCAAGCTACAGAGTATGAAGAGAGGAGGCCCCTCCCTCTGAGGACCTTTCTCTCACCCATGCCAGTAATCAACAAGAAAGCTTAGGGTCCAGGAATGTGAGCCCGGCCAAGTCTGGGAGGGCATGAGGAAAAGGTAAGGGAGATGAGCAGGTCACTGTGACACTGGATGGAATCAGAATGTTCAGGGACTCAAAGCCCACCAGAAATCCAGTTCCCTGGTCTCACTGAAACTGTTAGAAAAGGATGATTTGGGGAATATGTCACGCAGACAACCAGCAACATGTCCCAGAAAGAAATATCTGCAAGGCTTCCACCTTCCTAACTCCTTCGTTCATGCAGGGATGTGGTCCACATTAGTCTTGCCTCTGTTACCTGCAGCTATAGTACCTGCTGTGCCAGAGACCTTTAATAAAGTGTAGGACATTTTGTTCTGCAATCTAAGAAGATTTAAAAGCAGATCTACTTAATAATTACCTTGAAAAAAGCAACACACTGCATTATTAGATTCTAAGTACATCTATCTTATTTATTGGCAGGACATTAGGTTCTCCCCTTGCACTTAAGAGAGCATGTTTTGTACACAAATATATATACTCACTTATAAATGATACAGAAACATTGTCTGAGAAAAGATTTTTAGTGCTTGACAGTAAGTGCCCAATAAATGTGGAAATTAAATGATGTTACCGGAAGGGTACCTTGTGAAGGCAAGGAAAATCACAATAGCCAATTTCATAATTTTTTGAGCCAGGTTTTATAATTGCTATTTGTGTAAGACTTGATTTCTTTGGGTTGTAAGTGTGTAGGAAAAGTAAAGATATTAATCAATCCTAACCCAAAACTAAACAGTATATTTGATTAATAGTATTTAAAAGTAGTGCAAATGTGTGTGTGTGTGTGTGTGTGTGTGTGTGTGTGTGTATTCATGTAAAAATGAACTTTGCCCTAGACATAAAAGTTAGGCTGGCCAATGCTTTGTGTTGGTGCATTATTTTAGTGCACTTGAACTATTTATTTTATTTTGAGCTAAGAAGTAAATGGGCCAATAAATTTATTTTTAAATAAAGAAATAGGCTAAGAACTTGTATTCCTCTGTTTGGAAGCCTCACCCTTTATTTTAATCTGTTTCCTTCCCTTTCTTTCTCCTGCTCCCTGTCCCATGTATTCTTTTGAATCTGTCACATGGCCTCAAGGATATTTCTCGGCCTGTTTGTGCAAGATGTGTGCTTATGACAAAGAGCTTCCAGTCACTCATGTCATTAAACATTTTTCCAAGGAACTTCCTTGGCTTATTCACTTCTCACAGACACGCCAAGTTTCCTTATTTCTTTTTCATCAGAGAAATATCTCCCCAGGTTGCATTCTGGCCCTGAGAGTTGCAGGACCTGTATAAGCAGCTTGAGATCAACTCGGGCAATCAAGGATCTGAAGTTGCAACGGTTCCTTAGTGTCCTTGCACAGCGACACTTCAACTTCATCAAAGGTATGGTTGATAAAAATAAGCAGAACTCACTGAAAGCTGAGTGGATCTGGTAGAAGTAGAAAATAAAATAGTGGCTACCAGAGTTTTCGAGATGACGGAGGAAGGACAGCCATGATTGATAGTAATTAATTATATACAAAAGAGCTAGTAGAGAAGACATAAAAGGCTCCCAACACAAAGAAATGATAAATGCTTGATATGATAAACCAGTTTTCCCTCATCTGATCATTACACATTTTATTTAGTACCCTGTAAACATGTGCCATTGTATCAATTGAAATTCAAAATATGTTAATCGATAACTTAAAATAATGAATAAATAAATGACTAAAGAAAAGCCTGAATGAAATACAAGTGGCTTTTATTTTCTGGCTTTACTACAAATGAAATATTATTTACCCATAAAATTTAAATGCATGGGAAGTGTCAAACCAAAATATTTTAATGTTTTACATATTTTCCTCCTTAATGTGAGTCCATTAGACATAATTTAGGGTTTTTTTCACATTTTTTTCCTTTATTGAACGCTAATACCAAATGCTGTTAGGACTACATAGGAAAACGATATGGCTAATACATCAGTCAGGTATTACTAGAGATACAGATTAACACAAGATGCACAAATGTATAAGAAATTCCAAGATTGGCTTACGATGGTCCATAATTTGCTTTTTGTGTGACTATTCAGAGTCATGATTCCTAGGCTTTGGGATTACCAAAGTACTCATGCCTGCGTCAGACACTCTAGATGGTCAGGCCTGAGTTTAGACACCTGCTAGATGTAGTAGATTATGTCTCCTGCTTCAGGATTGCAAGATTAGCAATTACAGCTGCCGCTACCAACACGGGTGGCTTCCGATTGCCAGCTAGTGAAGACTCTTGTCATTCAAGCCAGTTAAAATCATGTCCAACATGAGAGTAAATCTGTTCATGAGGGATATTACTAAAGAGCACATGCGTTGAAGTTCTCTGATTTACGGCCATCTGTTTTAGCTAGTTGGTACTGAATTTGCATCAGGAGTTTTATTGTTGCTTATGTATTGGTGAGTGGACAGATTTAATTTTGGTTTGGGTTTTATTCCAGGTCATTTGCTTTGTTTTAGCTAATTAAATTGCAACCAAAGTGAACTCTGCTTATGATCTTAAGTGCTACACCAAGCTTCTTCATGTCTTTCAAAGAAGAATACTTTTGCATTACAAGAAGTAATGGAATAGAAGGCCAAGTTACAGAAATCCGTGAACTACGACGGAATTTCCAGGCTTCTAATATAAAATCCCCTAATTTAATGTCTGAACACGGTGAATACTCAAACAATATCAATTCATGTCCTCTAAGATGTGCCCTTATCCCCAACCTCAGAACTCTTGGGACATTTTGTGCTATATTTTATGTTTCCTGTCTCTCATTTCTTAAAAATAAAATGACAGAGGCTGGAGGTATATGTAGCCCAGTAGAGCGACACGTAGAATACTTGCCTACTGTACATGAGCCCTGGGTCAAATCTCCGACAGGGCAAACAAGCAAAAGTAAACAAATAAAATGGCTTAAACATACATGCAGGGCCGGCCAAATAGCTCAGTGGATTAAAACACCTGCAAGCAGGTACAGGGGCCAGGGTTCGATCCCCAGGCCTGCTGTGCCAGCCCCACCACCGGGGCACACTGAGATGGCAATTGAGACTGGATGTGGTGGCGCGCGCCTGTAATCCCAGCTCTTGGGAGGCTGTAAACAGATGAATCACTATGAGTCTAATCTAGTAGTGAGACCCTGAACACCCTGTAGACCCTTTCCTAAAATACAAAAAACAAAAAACAAAAACCCAAAATACACATGTAAGCCAAGTATACTGGCACATACCTATAATCCAAGTTATTGAGGAGGCTGAGACAAGAAGGTATGGAGTTCAAGATATATGGACAACTTAACAAGACCCTACCTCAAAAAAAAAAAAAATTAAAAGGGTTTGATAGGACGTTCAAAGGCCTTTAGTGCAATTCCCAACACTACAGAAAAACAAATCACAACACACACACACACACACTTCATATTACTTCACTTTCAAGCAATAAAACAAGGACAGGACTGAAGTTTATGTCTAAAATATTACTCAGGTAGGGGCCTGCCCCTTAGCTCAGTTGTTTAAGTGGCTGCTTCCACAAAGCAGTCTCAGGTTGCCCTGGTTTGATCCCCACCACTCCAGCCAGCCAAACGTGCCCTGAAGGCATTCGGAGCCAGCCAAAAAAACCCACTTCTGCCATAAAAAAAAATTAAATAAAATATTACTCAGGTAAAATTGCAAGAATATTGTTTTCATTTTAAAGAGAAAAAAAAACAAATTCAAAAAAGATAATAGGAGAGCAGTAATAATTAATATACTGCACATTATTACCTTTTGTCTAACCAATAATAGCTCAAACCATTTTGTTGATGAAAAGAAACCAGCAATATAACTCTCCGAACTATCTTGTGTAATTTTTTTCTTCCCTTTGCCTTCCCTTCTTTTCTCCTTCTCCCCATCACAGTTTCACTTTCCTTTTTTACAGTGCAAGAATATTGAAGACTGAAAACTTTTTAAAATGCTAGTACATTCTACTTTAGAAATATAGGTTGAGCATACCTTATCTGTAATACTTGGGACCAGAAGTGTTTCAGATTGTGAAGTTTTTTGAATGTTTTAATACTTGCATAGATTTCCCCCATTGAGTATACCCAACCTGAAAAGTCTAAAATTCAAAATGCTCCAAAATCTAAAACTTCTAGTTTAATATCAGCTGATTGCTTTGACATGGTCACTCTGCTAATTACAAATCCCTGTCAAAAACTGCTCCTGACAGAACACCTGGATGAAAAATCTGTACCTGCTTTGAGTTACTGTTTGTATTTAGGAATATTAAAATAGGATTTATTTGAAAACATTCTGTTGTTCAGACAGTTTTCTCTCCCCAGTTAATCTCAAAATTCAAGACTTGGCGGTAGCAGCCTGGAGGAAGGGACCAAGCCAAAGCAATGCCAACAGTATGCTCCATTCAGTTGTCTTTTTCATCTTACAGAAAGGAAAGGCACCAACCTTGGATTTGCATCATGTGCTTTGACAGCACACACCGCTAGCTGTCCTTACAAGGGTGCCACATCCCAGGACTTTTCACCCACTGGAGCCATTATCCCTTCCCCTTAGACTTTTTAAACATGGCATCCTCCACATACGATTATTATTTCATAGCTAACGCAGACTATATTCTAAGAATTTTATATGTGGTTCAATCAGCATAATGGGTATACCGCAGTGAAGATGCATTTTAAAGTGTCAACAGCAAGTGACTATTTCCCAAGTCCCTGAGTCATAAGGACGGAGACAGCAATTTAGAAAGAAGAGAACAGAAAGAAGTCTTTATATGTGTATTTCATAAAGTAGATTGTACTTCATGAATTTAAATGTGGCAGGATAGTCACTCTGCTGTCTCGCCATTACCAAGCGAGATGCTTGTTATAAAAAAGAAATATGTATGACTGTTGAGGATGCTGCCTTATTAAGGGCTGTGTTCTGCACTCTGCAAAACACTTCCCTGGAATGTTGTCACCTACACTAAAAGATGTACACAAACTTTCTCACTTAAATTATTAGGCTGAAGACACCCAGAATATGTTAACTCCATAAATATGCAAATAAATAGTTCAATGAGTCCTCTCACTTCTTAAATTTAATGTAGGAATAAAATACTGGAATCCTGACTTCTATGGATGATCCTTTGCCAGTAAGTTGTTAAGATTTTTCACTCTATCTAATTGTTCCGGCACAGTTAGTTTTAATAGGCAAAAGCTGTGTAAAGAGCCAATTAAGTTATATTTTTAATCTGAGAATATGTGATTAGTTTGTGGATATTGTAGGAGTAAAAATTCAATGCTTATCAATCTGAAGATAATGAGCAAACTTCCAGGGAGGGCCAGGACTTTCTCCACTAGGAACAGAGTGGGAAAAGGGTGCAGGGTACGGATGAGGGGAATGTGTGTGGTTCTTTTCTGGCTCCTCCTGCTCCTTCCTCTGAGCTCTTGGTTCTGAATCTTCCAGGCTCTTTCAAGACATTCTCTTTCTGATACTATTCGTCTCTGCTTTTTCCACTGATTCCTCCGTGTCAGCCTGTAATTCTGCTGAAATAGGCCTCACCTAGAAAGCTGCCTGTTTGTTCTTTTACAGTACTATCAGGCCCATCCCTAAAATGCATCCCTGTCTCTGGGCATGCATGGTAGGTTGGCTTCCCTGGCTGAGTCTGGCCTGATAAAATAGCCCCACTCGTTTCTATCGATGTGCAACTCACCCCAATAAAAGCTGTGTTCATTCTCCATTCCAGTGTCAATGTCAAGCTCCTCTCTGTCAGGATAGTTACAGGGTGAAGAGTACCCACCCTTTGCCTACAAAACAAAATCCATGTCATGGTCAGGATCCTCCACAAGTCAACTTTGCAGATCATTTCCCACATGCACTCTGCATCAGCTGCCCTCTTCTGCTGAGTGGGCCCATTCACGGTCCTCGGTACGCTGGCATTTGTCCACTCTGCCACTCCTTAACTCCGCTTCCCATCTTGCTCCTAGTAAGAGCCACTTCTGAACCATTTATTCAAACCGAATACATCCTGAAGAAGCCACATTCCGCCTCTTCAACACAGGTTTTTATATCTCAGCTAGGATGACTGCTGCTTTAACTGAGCAACTTCTTTTCTTTTCCACCATATATGCCAGAATATTCATTCTGAAAATGCCTTTTCCACTTCATAAAAAACTATAATACAGAGTTTCT